GAAGGGAGGGCCCCCTGCTCCCTTCTCACTGTGGTTGCTGTTACCGACACCTCCTGATTTAGTGTCAGCTGTGAATATTGTCTCTGCCTGTGGCCTCCCCCACCTACCCTGAAAAACCTCTAGGGACCCAGGAACCCCTATCCTGTCTCCATAGAGAACTGACCATATTGTTCTAGGGCCTTCACACAACAGGCAGCTCTCCCTATCCTCTCCTTCTTTCTTCAATCAACATGAGCTCTTCCTTGCCTCCAGGAAGGGAAAACTGACCCGATTTCACTGTATGAACTGTCTTGTCGCCCCCTGAGCACCACAGTCCAGGGCAGTTCAAGTCAGTGGGATCTGTTCAGTTTCCTTGCCAGCTGATTATAGTAACTAGGGTTTAGCATCCAAAGTTCAGGCCCCTGAAGCTTCCTCCCAGGGGAAGGGAGAATGTGTAAAGCAAGACTCCCGGTCAGTTTTGTAGGTATCATGATGTAATGGAAAGATCATTGGACTTGAGTGTCAAAAGACCCAGGATCCAGTGTCTCCTCTGCTATTTACTGTTTATGTGATGTTGGCCAAGTCACTCAACCTCTCTGGACCTCAGTTTCCTCTTCTGTAAAATTAAACAGTTATATTTGATGATCTCTAAGGTTTCTTTCTTCTCTGAGTTCCATGGTCTCATTCTCATTTGCTTTGGTTGATTCAACTTTTCCTATCATTTTCACTCCATCCTCCCAACTATTCAATTTCCCCAGAGCTGGGGGCTTTTTTGGGGGGAGGGGAGGACCAGTTCTCATACCCTGCTCCCTCTAGTAGCTCTATAGTTCCCCCCATAAGGATGGAAGGAGAAAGTTGAACCTAAGACTAGAAGTTTGACCCTTCATGGTACTAAGATCTGACCCTTGCTCCCTTAGCCACCTAAGCAGTTTCCTCATCCCAGGGAAGTTAGGGAGCTCCCCACCGCCACCACCACCACATACACTTTTCAATCAGTTGTGGGGTGGAGAATCTGCTAGAAGGCAGGGAAAAGAAAGGGGATGAACCTCCATCTGGAAACATCAGCAGGTGTTTCTATGGCAATGGAAGTTTTAAAAGAAGGGGAGGGGGTGGGGGAAAGTGAGTTAATGGGCATGAGAGCCAGCCCCCTCTTGCCTAGGATATGTTTATCATTAGGTAGGGTATCTAACACTATTACTACTGGGTGACGTTCCTTTCTCACACCACAACCCAGCCACCCTAAGAGGGGGCTAAGGAATGAAAAGGCAGGGGGGAGGAGGAGAGGTAGAGCCAGGGGTTAGATAATATTCCCTTCTAACTCTTAGTTTCTGTTATTCTTAGGGAGGATGAGAGGTGGGAGAATAGAGAAAGGCAGAGATTGAAAGTAAAGAGAAACAAAGGGGAGACAGGAAGAGATGGAGAGACTGAGAACAGGTGTATGAAAGCAAGGAGAAGAAAAAGTGACAAATCAAGGAACTTTGTGGGGTGTAGGGACAAGAACATACTCACCAGTACTGGAGAGAAACAGAGAGAGAGAGAGAGAGAGAGAGAGAGAGAGAGAGAGAGAGAGAGAGAGAGAGAGAGAGAGAGAGAGAGAATGAGAAAATGGATAAGAGCTGCAGAGTGATGGCAGAGGGGAAGAGGGAGAAGGGAGAGAGGGAGAGCCACTGAATGCACCAATTTGTTTGTTTTTTTTGTAGGAAGGCTATCAGATCTGTGATCTCAGGGAACCCCTAAAGTGCGTGGAGTTTCAAGCCCTCAAATACAGAAAAGGACAGGAAGCTGTCCCTCCTGGTGCCTTCCTATTTTTCTCTAGTGTTGGTTGCCCCCCTCCCTCATGCCCCCAAATCTGAAAGAGGAGTAGAGATGAAGGTGTGGAAGGAAAAAGTACTGGGTTCTCATCCCCTGGAGCTAGGAGTGAGGTCCCAACCAAACCTCCAAACCAGGACACACACGTTTGGGAGCAGGAAGAGCAGCCAGTTGCTTTTAAACTGTTCCAGCCCCTGGTACCACAACGTCTCTCAGAGGATGTAAAAGCAACTTGGGTTTTGACACCACCTCAGTGCCACGAATTGGAAAAACAGGGGCAGGTCAGTCCCAATTCACCTACGAGATGCTGTAGCACTACCCTCAGCACCCACTCTAGTCCCACTCCATCTCCTGCCTGCCATCACAGACATTCAGGAGGAAAAATAGCTCGGATTTGTTGTCAGCTTCAACATGTTTGAGGAAATAGGGGAACTTGAGAGTCTAGATCTCAGCCAGACCCCAAACTAGGCCTACCACTTTCTCTGCTCATCCCTTGCCCTTCCCATACCGAATCTGCCCTGAACACTCCCTAGAATCATCCAGGCCCAAGGCCTTGCGGACTAAGCCTCCCCTTCCTCCCTCCCATCCCCAGCCCCCAAAGCAGGAACTGTGGAGCAGGAGGTGTGGCTGAAGAACTCAGAGCTGGGGGAAAACAAAGCTTAAGGTCACCAGGGCTGCTTCAGTCTCTGTATCTGACTAGCGACCCTCCCCTTCAGGGGTCTGTTAGGAGGTGTAACTAAAGAAGGAAAATGGATGAGTCTCTCCAGTGGCTCAAAGTATAGAAACATTAGTTGCATAATCTCATTTCCTTCCCTCTGCCTCAGTTTCTTCCCTATCCTGTGTGTATGGCTCTCAAAGATAAAAGATTTTCTCCTTATACACCAGTGAGAGGTGGGGGAGGAGGAAGAATTGGGATTCAAGGGAGGAGATGGAAGACAGATAGGACATTGCAGGATAGTAGTGTCACCAAGACGCAATACAGCCACCTCTAACACAGTGATCTCTCTGGAGCAGCCACCAAACCCCACCCCCTGCACATCCACAACAGCCCCCAGAAATGAGGACAGGGAGGCTGTCTATTCTCCATCTCCCACCCCCTACTCCTCCTCCCCATCCCCCAGACAGCATTCCACTGCTGAACACCCAGAATGGAGAGTGTGAAATTAATTTCATAAGGGGAGCGATCAGAGCCCCAAGACCTAACTTCCAGAATGAGATTGTATTTCAGGAAACAATCCTCCCCCACCCCAACTGCTAGGAGAGCTATAGCCATGTTCTGTTCCTCAGTGCTCCCCCATTATCTTTTTCTACCTGTAGTTATTGTCCAGAGGATCATCCAATCCCAGTAGAACTGGGGAGTGGAAAGGTGTCCCATGCTGTCAGTGGCAGGCCCACCCCATCATATCCTGGCCTCCTCAGGTTCCAATATGGAACAGACTAAGAGCTTCTGGAGGAATTGGACATGCTCAGGCCCCTGTCCTTCCTCCAGCCTCTGCCCCTCACTCCTAGCTCTCAGGAGAGATCGAATACCATATCCCCGGTCCAGTGCAAGGGTAGTGCCACTGTCACCAGGCTGGAAGGGTTGGGGGAGGGGGAGAAGGGGATAGAAAGAAGAAGCTACTCTTCTGGGAGGGAGGAGGTTCCAAATCATCAGGGGGGAATTTGTTCAGGAGGCAACGGGACACGGTTCCTTGGGCAGAGTAGTATCGGGAACAAAGGTAGTTTAGAATGATGGTTCCAGGGGTTCTAGGGGCAGGAGGGGGGATGTTTCTAGAAATGAGGCTCCCCAGGACAGAAAGTGGGAGACATTAGGGAGGGGTCTAATTGGAAGTTCACAGCTGGGCATGCTGCCAAAGGCACAAAACCATACTCCCCTTCTCGCGTTTTCCCCTCCCCACCGGTACATACACACAATGTACAGCTCTCCGATTAACAAGCTGAGAACCTCAATACCCTGAGGATTCTTCTCCAGCCTGATAGGTCAGTTATCTCTGCTCCTTCCCCCCACCCTCAGCTTCCATTCTAGGAAACTTGCCTCATAGATGGAGCCCCTACATGCACATATATGCACAGTGCACAAATGCACAGACTAATGAGCCCTAACCCCCCTCCCCTTCGCCAGAAACATGTGCCTGCTAACCCCTCCCCCATCTCACTCGTGCACATGTGTCTGCACCCACGCCCCTCTCCCCCATCACCGACCCGAACACATGGACACCCGCACTCATGGGCACCTGGCCTACACGTGAGCACCCCAGCCCCAACCGAGACCTTAGGCTGCGGCTAGAATAGCCCTGTCTCGAAGGTCTGGGCCGAAGAGTGGGGATGAGGATCCATAGCCCGGATTCCAAAATGGGTTAACTCCTTCTCTCCCAGCCCCCACCCAAATCTTCTCTTCCAGCCCCCTGGGCGTTTTGTCACCAATAAAGAACTCCCGGTTGTCATGGAAATTAGTGCCTGGTCTGAGCAGAGTGAGAGAGAGAGAGAGAGAGAGAGAGAGAGAGAGAGAGAGAGAGAGAGAGAGAAAGAGAGAAAAAAAGAAAGAAGAGAATTGGGTGATCCCTCCGGGGATACACGAAGCGGTTGGGGGATGGAACTTGGGGAGCCGAGCACGGGGAAGGGAAATGGGCAAAACAGACCCTCCCAGGACATCGGAGTGCCTAGCACACAGTAGATGCTACTCCACAAATGCTGATTTAAATCTGGCAGTATAAACGGGTCAGTCGGCATCAGATCTGGCTCACAGCTGAGCTAGCCTTTCTGTACACAGGGCTTTGGGTTCTATATGTCCAGAGGCAAGGGTGCAAGGAGGGGCCATGGGGTGAGGGGATGTATCGGAGCACCTGTCGTTCTGGGGAGCTGCTCCAGAGAACTTTTGCTTCCAGACCCTCTCTGGGCACGGAGCACCCCTCCCCCATCCCGTGGGGAGCTCGCGTGTTCAGCCTGACAGGCTGCTAGTCTTTGCTTCCCCCCTTCCCAGAAAGACTCAGTTCTTCCCACTCTAGGGCTCCGGAAAGCCATAGAACAATTCCCCCCCAACACACACACACACACACACACACACACACACACCCCCCCCATTCCGGTGGCTGTGTCCCCACCTCGAACATCAACGAATTTAACCCCTCCACCCACCCAGCCCAGGGGTCCTCATTGCTCCCTAAGGCTAAGCCGCGGATGCTCCTAACGCGCCACTGGTCTCAGGGACCCACCTGCAGCGCCTGTCCCGTCACGAGGAGGAAGGTGCAGGCTTGAGGCTCGAGGGGTTCCGGAGGGTCCAGGGACGCCGCAGTTGGAGGCAGGACAGAGTCCGCTCCGGGCGGGGGAGATGCGGCGCCGAGTCCAGCCGCTCCCCAGCTCCGTGCGCCTCCAGCATCGCCCGCCGCTCCCCAGCGCAAGATTCGCACCGGGGGCCGGGGGCGGGTCAGAGGGGGTGGAGCTTTATCCTATTTGGGCCCGCCCCTTTGGGGGAGGAACCATGAGTCTGGGCGCGGGGTGGGGGGGGGTGGGGAAGAATCAAAATGCACCAGTGACTCACCCAGTATGCCTAGCCTCCTCCCCGACCCTAATTCTCAGGAGAGGTTCTGGAAGTGTCCAAGTCCTGGACCAAGAAAGAACCCCTCTTCCCAACTTTCGATTCACCGCAGCCCTCCAGCCCCTCCTTCATTTGGGATGCAGAGAAGAATTCGAAAGCCTGCCATGGAGCAGGGAGCAGCAGGGCTAAACGTCCACGTACCCATTTTACAGAAGAGGAAACTAAGGCTGAGAAAGGAAAGGTTTTGCCCAGGGCAGCTCAGCAAGCCAGGATGTTCTCCTTGGGGGCTCAGACTGCTTGAGCCCTTTCCTGATTCTCAGTCCCTAATCAGCGATCGGGACACTAAAGATGTCTTGCCCTGGAGATTCCAGGGATGAGGAGGGACTTGAGAATTTGGAATGAGGAGAGGAAGCCCTGGGGCAGAAATTGGGCTGGGTGTGTACATAGACAGAAAACATGCATGTAATTCATGTTAATGTGTCTGTGCTGACGCACATCAGCGTGTGTTGGGGATGCAAACGTGTATGTGTCTGCATGGATGTGCGTTGAATTGGTGGGCGTTGTATGTATATCTGAGCATGTGACTATTGTGTATGTTTCTGTATATTGTGTCCACATAGATATGTTCATACATTGTGTATGCGTCAATGTGAGTTTGACATTTAGGAGGTCTGTTGGAGAGCTGGTTATGCTAATCGTCCCTCTCCACCTCCTTCCGTCACTTCTGGATAGTATTATGAGACAGTAGTTGGGAAGGACTGAGTTGAGCACCGCCTTATCGGACTTTAAGGACCTGACGGAACGCTATCTTGAAGGGCTGCTGAATTGAATTGTATCCTGGCAACCTCCAGCCTTCTGCCCTCGGTTCAGCACTTGGACAGCTCCTTAGGCACTCCCTTTCACAGAATCGTGTTTTTTCTTAGGTTTCTTGCCTTCGGCCCTGTTGAGGGTTCAGATGATGTGACTATAGCACACAGGAATCTGGCTCTCTGATACAGCATTAATTTTCCAAATTTAAAACAAATGCTTTAAAATAGAATAAAGCAACATACGTTGTGTCCCAAAAGTCTTAGTACAGTTTTAAGCTTTAAGGTTTTTTGTTTGCTCTGTTTTAAAGAGATTTAGGCTCTAATAAGTTAAACCTGCATTTAGACTTTTGGGACAACTTGTATTTCCATGACTAATCAATAAGCAAGACACTGCTGAACATCTATTTTGATCCAGGTTCCCAACTATGGAGGATTCAGGTAAATAGAAGGAGGTCTGTGCCTTTCAGGGTAGCAACACAGGACAAAATTAAAGTTGTCATACCTTGTATGCCCAGTGCCTCATAGGTCACATAGAAAGTGAGGATTGTAAGATTTCATAAAGGGAAGAAATCACTGTGGACTGGAGTGGTCTAGGAAGCCTTTGTTGAGGAGTTTGTGATTTGAGCTGGGCCCTGAAGCACAGATAGAATTTAGAAGGAAGGAGACAGGATATTCTAGGGAGGAGAAAAACCACAGAGATGGGAATACAAAAGGCCAGTTCTCTGGTGTGAAGGGACTTTGAAGCCTGCTGTTTAAAGGCCCTTATGTAAGTTATCTAAACCACCTCTTTATCTCCAGGCAGATCTGAGCATCACTGAGGTATAATGTTGGGGAGAGAGAAGGTGTTGCTATAAGCTCTGTATACCTCCCTGACTCCTTCCCCCTATTCTGTGCCTAAGGAGCTTCACCGACTACCACTTTGATCATGTGGTCCAGAATCAGAGGCTGTTGGCCTGTCTGTGAATGGTCCATTCTGGGCACTACCCCTGCTTTGGGTTGGGGGTGGTTTATGAACCATGCTAATAAAGACTTAGATATATGCACCGGACAAATACAACCAGATCTCAGTTTTCCACTAAAGAGGAGAGGATTCAGGATGCTGACAATCCAGAGCATCAAATAATCCCCCACAGCACTTCTTTTGGCTTCAGAATGCTTTAAACCAGTTGAAAAGAAGCAGATGTATCTTTCCCATCCTATCTGATTCTAACAAATATTGCAAAGGGCCTGTCTTTCTTTTCTTTTCTTTTTTTTTTTAAAGGCAATTGGGGTTAAGTGACTTGCCCAGGGTCACACAACTAGTAAGTGTTAAGTATCCGGTCTGAGGCTGGATTTGAACTTGGTCTGAGCCAGATTTGAACTCAGGTCCTCCTGACTTCAGGGCCAGTGCTCTGCCCATTGTGCCACCTAGCTGCCCCCATGCAATGGGCCTGTCTTTCCTAGTTTTACTGAGACGGATGGCAGGGGAAGGTGGCTCAGTAGGATCTATCCTTAAAATTCTCATCACTTTTCCTGTATCTCTCTTTTGCTCTTATTCTACTTTACATAAAAGTTATTTGCATATGTTTCTTTCCCTTCTATGAGTTTACAAGTGCCCAGAGTGGAGAGTCTGTGTTATTCAGATAATATACATGCAGGTACTCACTTCATATTTATTAAACATCACTAAGGAAGTTGTTTTGGTTTCTAGTTTGCTGTACTTGCTAGCCATAGATGAACCACCAGTAGCAACACACATTCACATAGTTATATGTAACTTTCCTTTTTCTGTCAAGGGCACCACCATCATTCCAATCACCAAGCTTCACAACATAGGAGTCATCTGTAATCCTTCACTCTTGCTCACCCCTCAGATACAATTAGCTGCCATGTTTTGTTGATTTTATCTCCACAATATCTCCTGTATGTGGGGGCAGCTAGGTGGCGCAGTGGATAGAGCACCGGCCCTGAAGTCAGGAGGACCCGAGTTCAAATCTGGCCTCAGACCAAACAGTTGACACTTACTAGCTGTGTGACCCTGGGCAAGTCACTTAATCCCAACTGCCTAAAAAAAAACCAAAAAAAATATCTCCTGTACGTGTTCATTTCTATACTCACATAGCTACTCACTCTACACTCTACTCACATAGCTACTAATCCATATTCAGTTCTTCTTCACTTCTCCTCTCTTAACTGCTCTCCCAGCATTAAGTCTCTCTTATCTTGAATCTACCCTCATACAGTTACCAAACTGATATTTGTCAATCACAGGTCTGACCACACCATGACTCTGTTTAAGAAATTTCAGGGGGGCAGCTAGGTGGCACAGTGGAGAGAGCACCAGCCTTGGAGTCAGGAGGAACTAAGTTTATATCCGACCTCAGACACAAAACTCACTAGCTGTGTGACTCTAGGCAAGTCACTTAACCCCAACTGCCTCAAAAAAAAAAACAAAAAACAAAGAAATTTCAGTAATTCCTCATTGCCACTAGGATAAAATACAAACTCTTCTTCTGATTTCACATTTCTTCCCCCCATTACCTTTGTGTTTCAACCAAATTGTTACTGTACTCCATACACGACATTCCATCTCCCACCTTTGTACAGGTTGTCTGCTATCATGGAATGTTCTCCCCTATCACTTCTATTGGAATCCGAAGACCTTTTCAAGATTCAGGTAAAGTCCTATCTTTTATGAAGTTTTTCTGAATTCCTCAGTTGTTAATGTTCCCCCCCCATTACTTTCTATATATTTTGCATTTACTTATACGTTTATATGCTGTCCCTCTCCTTCAGTTGAACGTAAGTTCCTTGAGATCAGGGACTGTTTTGTTTTTGTCTTTGTATCTGCAGCTTCTTGAACTGTTTCTGGCAAATAAATGTTTATTGAATTGGATGATTAGTCCTTACAACAACCCTGTAAGGCAAGTAGCACAAGTATTATTATCTCATTTTTACAAATGAGTAAACCGAGGCTCTAAAAGGTTTAGTGACTTATCCATGGTCACACAGCTAATTAAGAGTCTGAGCAGAAATTTGAACATAGGTCTCCTGACTCCAAGTCCAGCTTTCTGCCTACTATGTTGTGGTACTTCTAATAACAGCAGTGTGGTGATTTGTATGTATATGACAAGGATTGGCTGTCTTCACATTGAATATACATAGACTATATTCTTTGGTAAATGTCATTGGTTTTTTGTGCCTAGTTTGATACATTCTCTCCTCTTGTCCACAGGAAAGAGACAGGAAAAAAGCCAGGATTTTGGGCTACTTAGCTGGAGCTTCTATAGAGATTGCCCTTATTTAGTTCCCTAGGGACCAATGGGGGAGGGCTTGAGGATTTTTTTTAGGAATATAGATGGATGCCAGTATATGCAGATAATCTGCACACAGTAGGCACTCAGTGAATGTTAACTCCTGACCATGATTATATATCTGTGTTCGTTCATGCCTGTGATGGCACAAGTGTGTGTACATGTGCCTGCTTCTCTTTAATTCCCTGGGCATCCAATTGAATGTGCACTTTTGTGTGTGCATGACTGCACACACAAATCCCCAGGACTGTCCTCTCCCCATTTCTGAGAAACAGGCATCCAGATCTTAATTGAGGAATAATCTCCAGGGACCTTAGGTTCTTTTCTAGTTTGTGCAGGAGAGGGGAAAGGGCAATGCGTGATGGACATGCCAAAGTACCTACGGTCATAGGAGCAGCTCCCCTGTCAGGAATTTGGGTTTTCACTCCTATAGCCTGGGTAGGGGCCAGGGGTCAGCAAGAACCAGGTGAATAAAACTATTTTAGACCCTTCTGAAGTTTAAGGGAGAGAGCAGATGACCCATAGAGGGTCTGACCAGCCAAGGCTTAAGGGAACTAAGATATCTCATGTTTGGAATCCCCTTGCTGAATTGGACAGAGAGGGGAAAGAAGGGCTTAGGGGGATCATGATTGCAAGTCAGTGTTGCTATAACTACCACCCAAGCAGCCCTGAATGGAAGGGATAGGAAAACAAGGGCCTCTCCAGAATTTAACCACTGAGAAAGCAAGGAATTCTGGTAAGAGTGGTGCAGGAAGAAGGCTGAAGTTTCACCTCAGCTCCATTCTCAGCTTTTATGGGCTGGGTACCTGTCACTCCAGAGCTGGATTCTTCCCTGCCAAGTAAGAGGATGTGAGAATTCTACTCCCTCTCTCTTGTCTGGGCATGGATGGGTAAAAGCCCCTGGTTTGAATCTTGGTTCTTCTACTTACTGTCTGGGTGACCTTGGGCAAATCAGCTTGCATATCTAAGCCTCATTTTCCTCATCTCTAAAGGAGTCGTTGGTTCCTTCCACTTTTAAGTTCTAAATAATCCAATGACCCATTCTTCATTGCCTGGCTTTAGGAAGGCATCAACCCTGGTTCCCAGCAATCCTCTATAAGTGCTCATCAAGAAGCCTCTTTAACCCAGAAGAGAATAGCTATCTTTCCACCTCCAAGGCAGCCAGTCCCTAGATTGGGTGTTTAGGCCCTGGCTGCTCCTCTCCTAGGGCAGAAGCCTTAAGATCTCCCAGTCCATCTTCCTAACACTGAGGATGCTGCATTTGATATTTCCTAACTTCATTTAACAAGTATTTATTGACTATCTGTTACAAACCAGATAATTAATATCATCCTCTCCATCTCTATTTCCTGACTTGCAGTTGGAATAGATCTTATTTTCCACATTAAAACTGAGAAGTTTATTCTCAGAGTTCCAGGATGGGCCTTTCTGCCAGTCTGTTCCTAGGTCTGAGTTCACACATTTCCCTCCCCCTTTTTTTCTCCTTTTAATCATACAGTGAACTTGTGTTCTGTCTGCTTCCCTCCCCAATAAAATTTCTCAGGAAAAGGCCTTACTGTTTAGTCATATATACCTTAATGAATCAATAATCAACAGGCATTGGTTAAGTAAACACTTACTATGTACAAGGCCCTGGAGATAGGAAGAAAAAGCAAAAACCATTCCTGCCCTCCAGGACAATTCAACAATTCTGCTATAATGTGGACAATTACCAGATACATGGACAACATGTAAATAAATACAAGCTACGTACAAAGTAGATGGGAAGTAACTTGAAGGGGAAGGCATCAACAGAATAGGGGTAGAGAAACTGGAAAAGGCCCCCTGCAGAAGGCAATGTTGTTAGCTGAGTCTTGAAGGAAGCCACAGATTCTAAGAGGGGGAAGGTGAGAAGAGGAGAGACAGCATTCCAGGCATGGGGGACAACCACGTTCAAAAGCACAGAGATGGGAGTTGGAGAATTCTGGAGGAGAATGCTAAATCAGCCAGTATGGCTAAATTGGAGAGTGTGTGTAGGGCAGTTATAGTAATGTCAATATGCTTCTTGATTTCATGGAACTGTAGAATATCAGATATGGAAAAGAAATAAAAGATTGCATAGTCAAACCTCTAAAGTGGGTAAATGGAACCCTAAAGAGAGAGAGGAATGGATTTGCCCAGGTTGTGCAGTGAATTAGGCCTGGACTAGAACCCAGGCTTCTTGACTTCCAGAGGACAGGCTTCTAGGTGTATAAGCAAGGCAAGCAGACACCCAGAGCATAGCACAAAGGAGAATGAGCACGTGGTGAGGAGCACTTTTAAATGTGACTTTTAATAAAAGCATATAGTTTTAATGCCTGAAAATTCCTCTCTCCAGGGCACGTATTTATTTTGTGTTGGGTACAGTTGTGTGTTAATCATGCAGGCTCAAAGCTTTCTGATGGTGTCAGGTTGGGGGAAGGGCAGTCATGCACGGGAGGTACCATTTTCAAACCTTGTCCAGATTACAGATGCATTGTCCCAGCTCTGTCCAGTTCTCTAGAGGCCAGGGTAATTTGCATAAATCTGCTTGTCTCCTAATAAAGAGATTTCGTGCCCTGCAAGCAATGAGAGGAGGGTGGGTGTCCTTCTTTTTCCCCAGGGGTCCTTCAAAGCTGAGGACAGAGTGTCTGGTAGGGTGAGGGGTGGGGTATCTGTGCCTATTCTGAGGAAAGAGTTGCAAGCATGTTCCTCCCTCTGCGATTATGACCGGGGCACACTACCCTCTCACAAAAGAACCTTTGAAATCTCGCACTGACTGGCCTGGAGTTTTTGGAGCATAAGATAGAACACCTCTGCTTCTGCTCTCTGCCACCCCAATCTTTGATATTTACCATTTACCCCTTCACTCAGTGTTATTCACATTCATAGGATCATAGATTCAGAACTGGAATAGATCTTAGAAGTCATTGAATCCAGCATTACAGATGAGAGAATGGTGGTTAAGTGATTTTCCCAGGGTTACACAGATAATAAGTGAGTGAGGCTGGATTGGAACCCAGGTCTTCCTGATTCCGTACTCTGGTATTTTTAGCCTCAATTCCCTCATATTTGCTCACACTCTGATATTTGCCCCAATTTCTTGCCTTTTTTATGTCCCTTGTTATTTTTTCCATCCCCTGGTATTTACCAGTTCTATGTTACCTCATTTACTCTTATTTACTCCTCATGTCTTAATATTTACCCCTATTCTCTGCTCTTTGCTCCTAGTCTAATATTTTGGGTTTTGGCATTTTTTTAATCCAACTTTTTGACATTTGTGCCTTTTTTCTCATATTTGACCCCATTCCTCAGTATTTGAACAAGATTACCTTGCATTTAAACCCTCCCCCCATTCCCTGGTATTTGCTCCCATATTATGCTACTTGCCCTATTTTCTAGTTCCTTCCTTTGGTATTTATTTACTTCCATATCTGATTTTTCACTTCCATCTCCTACACACTGGAAAAATGTCTCTAAGGTATGCTGCTTGTAGGAGAAGCCACACTCACCCCCCTGTGCCCCATGTCTCCCTCTTATCCCTGCTGGACATTCCTTAACAAGGAAGGATCCTTTCTGATTTATAGCTTCCTGGTCAATGGAGTCTTCCATGGTGCTGAATGAACCTATGGCAGAAGTCCTGCAGGAGAAAAGGGAAAGAGGCTAGGGCCTAGTCCCTTGGCTGGCTGGTTGGATTCTGGGTTGGGTGTTACGAGAGTGCATCCATTTTCTCTGGATCTGGAGGGGTGAAAGTCTCAGGGACCACCTCCGCACTCCCCCCCACTCCAACCACAATCCTGCATGCCATCAAAAAGGAAGGATCCTCTCCCTCTGTCCCCACCCCCCAGCTATGAGTCATTTGGAATGCTGTGTGGGTTATTACTTTGTGTTTGAAATCTCCATGGCAACCAGCTGGCAATCAAGGGTAATTGTGCTGGTCGCCTGGGCAACCGGGGCAAATCCCAGAGAAGAAGCAGCTCCTTGGGCCCCCAAGGTTCGGGACAGTTGTCCTTTATAGAGGGGAAGAAGACAGATTGACATTTCTTGGGGTACCACTATCTTTGTGATCCCAGAATCAGGAGCTATAGGGGAAACTCAGCCTGCTTAGGCTAGGCTAGACACTAGGTTTGTTGGTGGGAGCTTATATTTTCCTCTCATATCTAGTGGGGATTGAAGGATCTTTGACTCTAGATAGAGAGGATGGAGTGGAGTGGGGAAGGCTGATTGCGTCACCAAGCGAGATAGGGAAAGGAAGAGAAGATCCCCTATTCAGCAAGGTTGGAGCATTTAGTATCAGGGACATGGCATTATGTCTCTTGAAGCCTCCCTACCTCATCTCAACTGGAATCCTATGACCCCAACAGATATCAGAGACCCAGAGCCCTCTCTGACTTCCAGAGTAACTTTATACTTCCAGGACTATTACAGATGGTACTTATAGATGGCCCACGGGCCCTCTTCCTCATATTCCCCACGGCTCAACCACAGAGTCTGGAAGGAATCAAGGGAGGCGATGATGGAGCCACCTAGCCAGGCAGCCATGGCACGGTGAGGCAAGGATAAGACTGTGGCTGTGGGCCCCAGATCCTGCTGGACCCTCTCAGAGAAGCCATTCAGCAGGGTGGTCCCACCTTCCAGAACTACATTAGCTAACAGCTGTTCCTGCAAGTGCTGCTCCAGCTGGCTAATGCTAATCTGGGCCAGCTGGGGTAGACTGGGCTGATCGAGGCCCAGGATGTCCGGTTTAAACAAGACCTCAGGGCAGCGGAACCGTTCAGACCCAAGGGAGAGAACATGCTTGTCTGGGAGGACAAAGTCAAGCCGAAACTTGTCCTCTATTTCCCTGGGTTCAGAGACCATGTCAAGGGTCACAAACAGCAGGTCTCCTTCATGTGAGTTAGCACCTCAGCCTTGGGCAATGGCTGCCCGCCAGCCAAAAGCAGCTGGGAGAGGTATTCGGAGAGGTCTTTCCCAGCCACATCCAGACGGTAGACATTCAGTGGTGCCAGTTCGCCTGTGATGATGGGAGCCACGTAGGAAGTGCCATGCCCACTACCTATGACCAGTCCTGTGATGCGGCCATAGGCATAGAGGGTGAGTAATGCCTGATGGACAGTTTGCATGGCAGGCACCCCAAAGCCTTCAAATAGGAGCTCAACGACCTTCTCACGATTGGTACGGGGAGAGACTGGTGAATCAGCCACCAGTACAGCCAATTCCTCAGGTGCCACGCATAATTTGCTGTAAAAGATATGGCTCCAGAGGGCTTCTAGGGCATCCCAGTCAGTAACCACACCACGGATCAGCGTAGAACAAGCTGACTCTATGTCCTCTGTGATATAGTAGGGTGTTTTGTCCCCTTTGGGGTTTCGGTGTATCCCCACCCGAGTAGGCACTATGACGCGTGTATGATCCTCGCCTGCCAGACCACACTTGCTGTAACCTGTTCCTGTGTCTATCACCACGGCAGCCAGGCTTTTGTAGAGGTCTGTTGTATGGGAGGAGGTCATTTGGGCAGGGGGATGCTCTTGGAAATCAGCACCTGAAGCCAGCTCAGAACAGGGTCCTCTGAATGATTCAAAGTGGTTGGTCATTGTATGGTTTTCACTTAAGTCAGTGAGGGAATACTTGGTACAATTATACCCCTTGTCCACCAGAGCCATGGGCAATGTCTTATAAGTGACCTCAGGGTAGTAATAGGTGCCAATGGACAGGTTCTTATCCGAGGATTTTCTGTAGCTGGCACTGCTGGCTCTACCCCGTGAAGTCTTGGTGTTAGTATTCTCGCTTGTCACACCCTGACTCATCCCATCCTTTCCAGAACAGACATGGGTTTTTGGTAAGAGGGTCATCCTTAGTACACCTCCATGGGCGGTCAGAGGCACAGATATACTTTTGTTTTGCATTGACAGTTGGGTAGAGCCTGTGCTGGTAGTCACTGTAGTTGTACCTAACTCCTTGTGGAAGAGGGGAACACGTTGGAGAGACTCGGTGTTTTTTCTGGGGACTTCAGCTGTATTAGAAACACCCCCTATCATACTGCTGTCATAGGAGTGGACAGTGAACCCTTTGTCTTTGGTTGAGACATAGGAGGTTGATTCCTCGGATTGGCTTTTGAGTGTGGTACCTTTGTTGTGCTCCATGGTCACTGACCTCTTGGAGATGTTTGATGAGGAGTAAGTTTGTGGGGCCAAGAAGGAGAGTGTAGGATTCCCCTTGTCTGATGTTGCCCAGGGACAGCAGGTTTCCTTCTGGTAGGTTAGAATACTTTGTCCAACAAAGTAGGGTGGCTCCAGGGGTATGTGACCACTAAGCAGTCCAATTTTTGTGGGCACAAGAGTAATAGACCTGCCCTTCTCTTCCAGATTTGCATTGCTGTTCCTTGTCACTGACTTTGTGATTTCCCTGTCCGTGACCTTAGATGTCTGGGAGGGACCAGGGAGGGTGGCCCAGGGTTGGACCTTGCTAGGAAGCTCAACCTGCTGGGACTCAATGGTCAGGGTGGTGGGAGATCGGGAGCAGACCACATTGTCTGTGACATAAATGGGCCGTGCCTCTAGAGTAAGGCTCTTGAGGTTGTCCTTGCAGTGACTCTCCCTATGAAATTTAGTTCCTTCACACACAACTCCAAATTTGGTCTGATAAGTGCATATATCTATCATCATGCTCTCCTTGTCTGGCTGGCAGGAGCCCAGGGCATGGGGAACCTGAAATTTAGGGAGCTGCCTAGAGCAGAGCTTTTGGCCATCCATGCTGCATGTAGCCATGGGGTAACTGGAGACTTTTTTTGTCTCTGATGTAGATGGCCTGGTTCTCAGGGTTGGAGCCCTTTATGAATTCTTCATTAGTAGATACCATGCAAAGGTCTATGTCTTTGCTGTCCACCCCAGCCTTGGTGGGGATGATGGCAAAAATAACTTTTGGGGTCAGATTTTGGGAGTAAGTGGAACTTGGATTTTTGAGGTTGGATTTCTTGATGGTTTGGCTCCACTGGAGAAAAGGTTGTACTTGGGACCAGAATATATGGTAATCACTCTCTCCCTAAAGTGGTCTGGGGGATCTTTAGGGATGGGTATCCTGTTTTGGACACTGTCATGGGCAATGTCACAAACACCACTGGAGGCACCGTCATAGGCACTACCATGGATACCAGTGACATTGGTATGGGTACTATGGGCACTTTCATGGACAACATAGGCACTGTCACATTCACCATCAAAATGGCCTGCCTCTCCAAGTGTTGCCTGTGTCAACTGGATGGAACCGACTCTAACCTGTTATTCTGATTACTCTTTAACCGGTAGAAGAAAGTTTGGTTTGTGCTAGGACTGGCAATGTTTAACCTTAGGCTCCCAGTCTGACCTTGAATGAGTACCCCCTGAATGAGTGAGGCAGAATTGAACTGTCTATTGTCTCCAACAACATTGACCTGTCTTTCACGGCCTGAGTTGACTTGTATTCCAGCCAGTAAAGATGCTGCCTAGCTCCTTGATTTCTTCACCCTTCATAGGAAAGCTCTTAGGAGCAACTGCTTGTATATATTGCTGCTGGTTTTGATCCTAGTAGGTTTCACTTGGTTAGAATGGGCATAATAGTGGTAGCAGTTTTATATGGATGTGGCTGGGTGTGAATTCTTTGTAGAGGCCTCTTAAACAGATGTCCAGGTGCAAAACTGGTCCTGACTTTCCTGCCTACATTAGCAGACCCTCATGCTCGTGGGTCCACCCTGCCCATTGACTCTAAGCTAGTATTTTTCAGTGCTCTCTAAAGTAGCTTCAGCTTCCACCCTGCCCCTATCAAGTTTAGGCCCAGTTTGGGTCATTGCCCCACATATCTGGTCCCAGTAGCCACTCCTAGGCTGCCACCAGGGGCTGGGGGAGTAGGCTTTAGCTCTCTGTATAGACTCCAGAATGGGGCCTGCAGACCTACAATTACAAGGATAAGTGCCTGGGCTGTGGCCACCTTAGGCTACTCTCCACAACACTGGGGATTCAGGAAAAAGGGCTTGGTTCTTGGTGATGGGGAATGCTTTCTTGATAGATTCCATAGCTCTTGCAGTCTGTCATCTTATTTTTTAAAAATAGTAGTTTGGTTTTTTCCCAATTACATGTAATTTTATTTTTTTCCCTAATTGCATATAAGAACAATTTTTAATATTTGGGGTTTTTTTTTTTAGTTCCAAATCTCTCCCTCTCTCCCTTCCCTGAAGAGGTAATTTGATATGCATTATACATGTACAATCATGCAAAACATATTTCCATGTTGAATTGTGAAAGTCATGTTGTGAAACACAGACCGAAAAAAAAAACTTATGAAAAAATAAAGTGAAAAACAGTATGCTTTGATCTGCATTCAGACTCCATCAGCTCTTTCTCTGGAGGTGGATAGCACTTATCATCATGAGTCCTTGGGAATTGTCTTAGATCATTTTATTGCATAGCTAAGTCATTCACAGTTGATTAATCTTACAATATTGCTGTTACTGTGTAGAATGTTCTCCTGGTTCTGCTCACTTCACTTTGCTTCAGTTATTTAAGTCTTTCCAGGTTTTTTTAAAAATTATCCTGATCACCACTTCTTACAGCATAATAATATTCTATTACAATTTTGTACCCCAATTTTTTCAGCCATTCCCCAATTGATGGGTATCTCCTCATTTTCCAATTCTTTGCACCATGAAAAGAGCTGCTATAAATATTGGTATACAAATAGATTCTTTTCCCTTTTTTAAAAAAAAATCTTTGGGATGCAGATCTAGTGGTGGTGTTGCTGAATCAAAGGATATGCACAGTTTTATAACGCTTTGGGCATAGTTCCAAATTGTTCTCCAGAATGGTTGGATCAGTTCACAACTCTACCAACAATGTATTAGTGTCCCACTTTTTTCCACATCCCCTCCAACATTTGTCATTTTCCTTTTCTGTCATATTGGTCAATCTGATAGGTGTGAGGTGGTACCTCAGAGTTATTCTAATATGTATTTCTCTAGTTAATAGTGATTTAGAGCATTTTTTTTTCATATGAGTATAAATAGCTTTGATTTCTTCATCTGAAAACTCAGGGTCCCTCTCTTTATGGCTGCCCTATCCAACACAACCTTGGCAATATTTCACATCACAGCCTTAGGGTGGATGAGGGCAACAGCTCCTAGGGACCAAGTATCCAGCTGGAGGTATTGGAGAACCCAGCTTTTTCTTTTCCTGCGACGCATGTGGCAGAACCCAGGGATACTTTCTTAGGAGAAGAAAGACCTTGTGTGGCAGATCGGTGGGAATGGGTGAGAATGGAACCTCCAGTAGCTCCTGGCAACAGCCCAATCCCTAGGGTGGGACTGGGAGGACAGGGAACAGTTTGTGTTCCCTGCTTCAATTATAACCCAGGGAAAAGGAAGGAAGGACAAGGAGTAGGGTGCCATGTATATGACTCTCTGATCTACTGAGATTCCAGTGGCAAAACTCCCAAAGCATCTCTCTCTGTCCCTTCTCCAACCTTCAACCATCCCACCAAGAAAAATATGACAATGGCCTCTATTTTTCTTGTATTTTAAGGTTTATTTTCTTCAACAATTACCTGTGAGATAGGATGTGAAAGTAAGGAAGAAAATGAAATAACTTGCTCATTCACAAAGCCCAGGAGATGGTCCTGAGTTCAGGCTTTGAACCCAAATATCAGTACTCACCCAAAAAGGTGAGGTATGGCCAAGAGAGTATGTTGAAATAAGGGTCCCTTTGCTAGAATTCTTTTCAAAGTGTCCCGCTTCCTCACATAACATGTAGATCCATTAATATTTGATGAATTGAAGAGCAAGAAAAGAGAATTCTGATTCTCTCTACCGGCTCCTTCCCAAAGGGTGAGATCCACTCCTCATAAGGTTAACTCTTTGACAAGGTGTAAACTTGCATTGTCCTAAGCTAGAAAAGAGTTGTTTGCTAATTTAGGACTATTTTATACACTTGAACTATATAAGCTTGGGCTTGGTCTTCAAATGTGGTCTAGAACCTAGAAATATCAGAGAATTGAAGACATACAGGGAGAGAAGAAAGGCTATCTGCAGATTCAGACTGGGTTTCCTGGAGAAAGACAGGCATATATCTAAGGAACCATGTGAATTGAAGAAAAGGGAAGGGAGGAAGGGAACAAGTTTAAGTGCCTATTATGTGCTAGAAACTGCCTAAGTACTTTATAAATATTATCTCACTGGAGCCTTATCACCTTGAGAGGTAAGTACTATTATTACCCTCATTTTATAGTTGAAGAAACTGAGGCGGACAGAAGTCAAATGACTTGCCCAGGGTCACACAGCTAACAAGTACCTGAGTCTGAATTTGAACTCAAGTCTTCTTGACTCCAGGTCCAGCACTCAATAGAGTGCTGCACGGCACCACCACCTGCCAATGTCAGGTGAGGACGACTTAGTGGGAGAGTTTCTGGACCAAGTTTCTGTACCAAAAAAGAACTCAAACAGAGAAGTAAGGGACTGGAGCCACAATGCAGAGCAGCCAACCTGGGCCTTGTGAGTTATGAGCACTGTCCATGGAAAGGTAAGGCAACACCTTCATTGACTCTGGGTGTTTTTGGCTTTTTTAGGGTGGGAGGGGATGGGAGGCCTACCTAGGGTAGTCCTGTAAGTCTAGACGCCTGTAAATGTCCCTAAGAGACAAAGACTTACTGAAAGGGATGTGGGGGGTCAGGGAGCAAAGTTGTCCTGGCTATTTGTGGGCTTGAGTGCTGGTTCATTGTTATTGGTTTTTGTCGTATTAACCCAAACCTATCATATGTTTGGTGTTTTGTTAGTCTGAATGCTTTCATGGGGTCTGAGAGAAATCAGCAGGCTTCTTGGGGCAATGCTGATTTGTTAAAAACACAGCCTCTGGGAGGTAGGCTACTTACTCCTCAAAATCAGGGCTGTGATGATGAAGGAGCATGCACTTTTAAGAGTCCACTCCAGTGTTCAATGATTCCAGCTGCATGGGGAGAGTTTAGATGATCCAGATGATACGATAGTGGTGGGCCCAGTCTCATGCCTTCTTCGTGGTAAAGTGGACGCTCAGTACAGGATGGGCAAGGAAGGCACAAGGAAGAAAGTTTTATTCTGTAAGAGCTTTGTGGTGGCTGGCCCTGTGGCAGACTTAACTGGCACTGCAATCCTGCATCCTCAGTAAGATCCCCTGCTGTTAAGGTAGGGCAGCTAGGTGGTTCAGTGGATAGAGCGCTAGGCCTAGAGTCAGGAAGACCTAAGATCAAATCCTGCCTCAGACACTTACTAGCTGCATGACCCTAGGCAAGTTACTTAACCCTCTTTGCCTCAGTTTTCTCATCTGTGAAACAACCTGGAGAAAGAAACGGCAAAGCACTCCAATATCTTTGCCAAGAAAACTCCAAATGGGGTCATGAAGAGTCAGACATGACCGAAACAACTGTATAACAACAAAAGCTGTTAAGGTGAACCTCTCACCCTGAGATGGGGGAAGAGGGCCAATATAATCAGTTTACAAATCAGAGGCAGGTCAAGGAGAAGATCATGTCATACTGAGCTTTCAAAAGCAGATGTTCCAGCTGCCAAGAAGAGCATCTTTACAGAGTCATGGTTCCATGCCATTGATGTACCACCATGACCCCCATATCCATATTGATGATGGAACTCCACCTCTACCATTCTTGTAAGTTCATCAACCAGATTTTTCAGTCCAACAGGATGGACTGAAATCTCCGATGGGTATTAATATGCCCGACAAACAACGATACAGTTGAAAGCATCAGCAAAACTAACGGGCAGGGACTTTTCTTTTGCTTGTTTTTGTATCTCCAGTGCTTAGCACAGTGCCTGGCACTTGATAAATACTTGTTTCTTTCCTTCCAAAGGATCCTCAAGTACTGATGAGGGGAAGGGGAGGCAGGGTCCCTTTTAGGGTCAGATCTTGACTCTGATATTTCTTAATTGTATGACCAAGTAAATTGTGTAAACTTTAGTTTCCTCATTTTCAAAATTTTTCTTGACTTTTCCCAGAGTTGTTGTGAAGACAGTGCTATAAATCTCAAAATACTAAAGCAATAGGTATTGTGGCTGTTTTGTCTTATGGCATAGTGCGATGAGTGCTGGACTTGGAGTCAGAGACCCAGATTTCAGATCCCAGTTTTTATGCTACTTATTCCCCTTTTATGACCTTTACAAACCACTTAACCTTTCACAGCCTCAGTTTCCCCATTTGTAGTGTGAGAGGTGGAACTAGATAATCTTTAAAGCCTATTCCAGCTTTAAATCCTCTGGTCTTTTCCCTCTCTTTCCAGGGTCCTGCTCTTCTCCCAGGCCTCTACTCTGGAAACAGGGTTGTTGTTTCTGTTTGATTTTTTTCCCAAGGCCAAGTCCAGTTCATCTCCAAAGTGGTATTTACATGAAGGCTAAAAATAGAGACTCTTCATCCCAACATCCAGGATGTACTACTGCTAAGGGATACCAGGGGACTAGGACCGGCAGCCGAAGAGATGCTGAATTTGCATCTGCATAATTGGAGCAATTTAGCTAATCCCTGATTCAGCCTCCTCTCCTCTCCTCCTCTTTAGCTTGGCCCTTCTTATCTCTCCAGCTTCTCGCTGGATTTTTCTTTAAGTGGAAAACTGGGACAGTTCAGGCCTCTGTGTCATATCTGTTTAAGCCGTTTTAAAGGCCTAGCCCAGAGGAATCATGAGAGGAT